CCGCCTGAAGAGCGACACTCTTCTTGGGAGCCAGCGCCAAGGAGCGGCCCCGTCGCAAGAGCCTGCAAAAATTCAAAAGGCATAAGTTCACACCGAAAAACCAAAAAACAGAGGAATCGGTGACTTACTATGGCGCTGCTGGGCGGTAGGGACGTTTTGGGGACGAACCCCCGGTTTCCTGCCCCAACTCGTCTGGGCGGGACCGCTTTGAGCCTGACCCCTGCTCCCGGGCAGAGGGGCTCGCCTCCCTTGTCTCCGAGGGAGTGGCGGTGGAGCCACCCCTCTCTGTTGATACCTCGGGCGTGGTGGCAGATCCACCCGCCCCCATTGGCTCGTGGGGCGTAGCAGCGGAGCCACCTCCCTCCATTAGCACCTCGGGCAGCAGATCCGCCTCCCCCTACCCACCGATCCTCCACCGGCACCCCAGGTGTAGCGGCGGATCCACCGGCTCCTACCGGCCCCGAGGATGGGTCGATGGTTTGGCCGCCTCCGCCGGCCTCACGGACTCACTTCCCCCCATGTGGAACGGGAAGGGTCCCTGCGTGGACAATTGGGTGCCTGTCAGCGAATCTTCGCCCTCCAGGACATTCCAATCCAATTCAGCAACTACCTCGTCAAACTCGTTGTCGTCGTTGTCGTCGTCGTCACTGCCTGTCTCCTCTCCTCGATCCTGTGCTTGCTGCTTCCATAGCATCTTCTTCTTGAGCTCCCTCGTCCTCTTATCCCACTCGACCACGGTGCGATTCACTGCCGCTAGGATCTGGTCCTTCGGCAGCGGAGCTAGGCTATCCCCGAGGACGAGTCTCTTCGGCTAGTCCCGCTATCCCGAGGTCAGCATAAAGGGCTCAGAAATTCAAGTGAAGAGAAGGCACGGGAAAGGGGAACTTATGAAATCGATGAACCCCGGTTCCGGCCGCATTGGAGGATGTCCCGGCACCGGATATACGAAGTCAAGGACAACGCCGGCGGTGTCCTTCGAAGGCTCCATCGCCTCCTTGATTCACTGCGCCACTTCAGTGGGGGGCACTTCGTCGGCGAGCGCTGTCCCTTCAGGCGACGCCCCGGGCGCCATCAAGTACAGATCCACGTGTGGTTGGCGCCGATGATCCCCGACCCCCTCACACCCCTCTCCTTTAGAATTTGGAGGGCGACGAGACGGTCCTCGATCCTCTTCTTATCTTTGTCCGGGACACCCCACTTCCATGACCCTGGTACCTCTTCGATGAGGCGCCTGGAGAACACCGGCAAGGGGGCGTCCACGTCGTCCATGACGTAAAACCACTGCGAATGCCACCCCTTATTGGAGGTCGACAGACGCATCAACGGGTAGTCGTTCGCCCGGTTGTTGCGCAGATGAATGCTAGCACATCCCATCGGCATGCTCAGCTCTTGCTTCTCAACCCGCTTCTTCGATAGGTTGACATCAAAGAAATACCACCACAGATCGAAATGGGGACTAATCCCCAGGAACCCCTCACACAGGGCGACGAACGACGCAATATGCTGGACCCCATTAGATTAAGGTGCTGCAACTCCACCTGGTAGTACTCCAACAGCCCCCGAAGGAACTTATGAGCAGGTACGGTGAATCCTCGCTCGTGGAAGAGAGCAAAGGACATGACGTATCCTTCGGGTGGCGACGGCACGTCCTCATCACCAGGCAGTTGCCACTCCTCGAAGGCGGACAACAGGCGAAGGAGGCCACGGCGGACGAGGCCCTCCAGGCGCTGAGGGGTAATGTTGGATCTGCACCACGGCTCCATTGAAACAACGGGAAAGGGGGTGGATGCGAGCTCGACGGCGGCTGCGATGAGGATGTGAGCTTGACGGCAGCGGCAATACGGGTGTGAGAGGCTCAGGCGATTGGCGGTGGAGGTTGTAGATACAAAGGCGAGGAGGCGAAGTACGGAAGCCTAGGGGTGAACCCCGTAGTTTTATAGGGGCGATGGATGCGAGAAGAGCAACCGTCCGCCTTGATCTCCGAGCCTACCACAACACACTGCCGTGTCATGTCGCGGGATACGCGCCCGCGATCCCTATCCTTTCCCACCAAAATTGCGCCAGACAGTTCGCCTTCCCAAGCAGACTGGACTCTTTTCGCACAGAGGGGACACGGGTCAAAAAGCTTCTTCTCCAGCCCGCCTGGGCCCAGGAGTCCAAAGGCCGGCCCAACAGTCTCGACGGCCGTCCCAACGAGGGATGGGCCCATGAGCGACCAGGGCTCAGGTACACGAGCATCAGGGGTGCCTCGTTCCGTAGTTGAGCCCTAGCCAGGCTGACCCTAGATGAAATCCCCGTGAATGGGATACCAGGGTTCCATTAAAACTATCCAGTTGACAAAAACTGAATCTCACAGCCTTACCCGCGAAGGGTCCGAAATTACCCCCCGGTCGATTCTGCCTGAATCACCCACGACACACCGTCGCGTCACGTCGCGGGATACGCGCCCGTGATCCCTATCCTTTCCCACCAAAATTGCGCCGGACGGTTCGCCTTCCCCAGCAAACTGGACTCTTTTCCCACAGAGGGGACACGGGTCAAAAAGCTTCTTCTCTAGCCCGCCTGGGCCCAGGAGTCCAAAGGCCGGCCCAAAAGTCTCGACGGCCGTCCCAACGAGGGATGGCCCCATGAGCGACCAGGGCTCAGGTACATGAGCATCAAGGGTGCATCGTTCCACAGTTGAGGCCTAGCCAGGCTGACCCTAGACGAAATCCCCGCGAATGGGATACCAGGGTTTCGTTAAAGCTATCCAGTTGACAAAAACCGAATCTCACAGCCTTAACCGCGAAGGGTCCGAAATTACCCCCCTGTCGATTCTGCCCAAATCACCCACAACACACCGCCGCGTCACGTCACGGGATACGCGCCCGTGATCCCTATCCTTTCCCAGCAAAATCACGCTGGACGGTTCACCTTCCCAAGCAGACTGGACTCATTTCCCACAGAGGGGACACGGGTCAAAAAGTTTCTTCTCCAGCCCGCCTAGGCCCAGGAGTCCAAACGGCGGCCCAACAGTCTCAACGGTCGTCCCAACGAGGGATGGGCCCGTGAGTGATCAGGGCTCAGGTACACGAGCATTAGGGGTGCCTTGTTCCGCAGTCGAGCCCTAGCCAGGCTGACCCTGGACAAAATCCCCGCAAATGGGATACCAGGGTTCCATTAAAACTATCCAGTTGACAAAAACCGAATCTCATAGCCTTACCCATGAAGGGTCCGAAATTACCCCCCGGCCGATTCTGCCCGAATCACCCAGGGGCTCGGGGGCTACACCCGACGGGTGCACTCGCGTGCACCCTCTGGGAAATCCAATTACCCTCGGGCCGATTCTGCCCGAATCACCCGGGGGCTCAGGGGCTACACCCGTCAGGTGCGCTCGCGCGCACTCTCTGGCGAATCGAAACACCCCCAGGCGATTATGCCCGAATCACCCGGGGGCTCGGGGCTACTATCGGGGACCTAATACTGGGGTACCCAGTGAGGTGGAACTAATAACCATTGAACGTTGATACTTCCGGTCAGACAAGAACGCACTGCGCTTTTTGCCCGAACGACGGAAGATTGGTCCCGCCTCGCCCAACCCCCGAGGGCTAGACTCCACCTCGCTCGATGGCTAGGGGCTGGCTCCGCCTCACCCGATGTCCAAGGGTGGGCTCCGCCTCGCCCGATGGCTAAGGGTAGGCTCCGCCTCGCCCGACGCCCGAGGGCGGGCTCCGCCTCGCCTAGCGGCTGAGGGCTAGCCCCGCCTCGCCCGACGTCCGAGGGCATTCTCTGCCTTGCCCGACGACTGCACCCTGATCCTTCATAAAGACGAGCACAAGGTACGACAGGACATTCGAGTCAACCACGGTATCGAGGGCCATGCCCTGTACGCGTGTAGGAAGGCACCATCAGGAGACGATGGGACGGGCGCTTTAAGCCCTTTCCGACCTAACAGTGCCCGAACAGTGTTGTAGGCGCCGACTTTTGTCCCACAGTATAGTAGGCGCCGCCATCAGCCTTCGAACGTGGATACTAACACAAGCATGCGACAACCACTACGATCCAAGACTGAATTCACATCACCTACAGTGACGGACGTAGGGTCACTTCCCCGTCTACTCCTTGAAGGGTCATAGCTTGGCCCTCTGACATGCCGCACCATCCACCGGCGTAGGATGGGATGCGCCCACTTGCTGACAGAGGCCAGGGCATAGCCCTATAAGGATCAGCGAACACGCCATCCCTGACACGGTCTACCATGTTAGCAGGGCTGGCACATGGGAAAAGGAAGACCCGGCTCCTCCGAAGGACCTTCTCTACCTTTGGTTTTTTCCTCTTTCTCCCATCTGTAACCCCTGCTCCCCCTTGGTCTATAAAAGGGAGGGCAGGGCACCCCACTAAGGGACCCGACTTTTGATCGATCGTTTTCGACACACAACACACAGCCAAGCAGCAACCAAGCTCTTGGCGTCCTTTCAACCTTCCATCAGAGACTTAGAACATGTCCCTCTCTCGACTGTTTGTACCGCCTACTACGAACCTTTTTCGGAACTAATAACACAAGCAGCCATAGACTGGACGTACTGACGTTCTGCCAGAACCAGTATAAACCTTGTGTCCTTTAGTACACCATCCGAGCCTAACGCACAACAATTATAAATTTACTAGCCAGTGCTTGTTCAAAACACCGATAGAGGGGGTCATGAAAGATTATTGTAACAAACTCTTGCCTTCTCCTACAAGCACTTCTCTGATCCCCAACCTTGTGCTTTGCTGCCCTTCCTTCATTCTAGTTCCTGCTACCCAGTCTGAACTCTGTATGGTCGCTACTCTGAAATACATGGACTCTGTCTGAGAGCGTAACAAATTGGTACTCAGAGCCAAATCCTGCAGTGCCACGAGTCCACCACTTCCTCGGCGGTTCGCTGATCGACGTAGAGGACCATCGTCGGAGAATTCTGCTGGAGCCCCACGAGATCTTCCACGATCACTTCACCTGGCTTCGCAAGCAGTTAGGTGCCATGGATCCCAACACCAAGCTCATCCTCGATGAACTCCGATCCGTGCAGTCGAACCTCACCGCCCGCATGGATTTCGTGGAGAACTCCGTCGGCAAGCGCGTCGCCTCTCCGGACGACACCGTCAAGGCGTTCGACACTTGGCGCCCGAAGCTGGATGCGACCGTGGAGGAATTGCGTGCTGAGGTGCACGTGATTCGGAAGACGGACGAGAAGGTGGAGACGTTGCGGGAAGAGATGACCGCTCTACGCAAGTTCGTGAGCCACTCCGTCCTCAACGCCGCGCCGGCCATGCCAACCGGTGTCCTGTCACCGCCTCCAAAGGTGTCCACGGCGATGATTCCCGCCAGTTGGACCAAATTCAGCCCGATAGGGCACCGTGAGGAATCAGGCCACCAGGGATTTGAGTATCCAACTCAGTCCCCAGTTAAGGGTACGCTCACTCCACCCAATCCTGACCCTAAACCCAAGCTCCTTCGCTGTTACTCTGGATCAGCTCTCATGGCGGGTGTTCCCAGTGGATCGGGTGGGGGTGATGGCTTTCCGCGTCGCACTTGGCATGGGAATGGGGTTCCTGATGGCAATTGGCATAGGGAGGGAACTCACGAACACATACCCAAAATGAATTTCCCACCATTTGATGCCGAGAACCCAAAATTGTGGCTAGGTCGTGTGGCAGAACCGTCTAATCTAATGTCTCCCAGGAGTGCTCGTCTTCCATTAGATACTAAGCACCCAAGGGAGAACACTAAATTACTTGGTTCCGTCGGGCACACCCCAGGGGAGAACCCGAAAATCCATAATTTTGCATCAGGATCACAAATGAGAGAATAAAGCTTACATCATTCTTAACCATTTCTTACATCACTTTTAACACAACATCAGAGTATAATATTTATTATTACAACAGCGGAATGTAATCATATTATCAGAGTAATGAACAATTTAATGTAACAGCGGAATATAAACATGTGATCAGAATTACAGCGGAACTAATTATCTATTCATGGCATGATGAAGCATTGATATGTAAACTATGACCACATGTTATAAACTTTCATTTCTAAAAGCATTTGGTGAGAGTTATAAATAAAAACTACGTTCGCAGCGTAAAGGAATCATCGTTGAGCCCACCAGGAGGTATCCACACACAAGAGTCAGCTCTAGCATCCACCTGTCACCTGCAACAGGGGGAATAAAACCTTGAGTACTCAATTGTACTCAGCAAGACTTACCCGATAGGAGGAAAGAAAAGACTCTAAGGATATGCAAGGCAATCTGGCTTGTGGGTTTATTGCATTTGTAGAAAGCATTACAAAGCGTGCGTCCTTATATTCGATTTTTATTAATAGCCACATTGGTTCATTAACTAACCATTCTATGTAAGCACCTATGCTACTTTCAAGCAGGTGGTAAGCAATCAGATTTTCTTTTTCCATCTTCCATCTTTCATCTTCAGTTCTTACTACGGTGCTAGACACGAAACAAGCCGTACCAGATCGCCCGATGATTCGTGAATTAATGCCCCCAGCTGGATACCCCAAAAACACATGCCCCGCTTGTACCCAAGGCACAAGCAGGACCAACCCATCACCCTCCTATCATGGGGTCCTAGATCCCCGTCCAAACTAGGACTCCAAGCCCCCGCCCCTGAGTCCCGGACTCAGTGCGGTGCAAGGACCTCCTCCACCAAAAAGAAACCCTGACAGTCGATCCGGAAAGAGCCAGAACCCACGACAAGAGAGCAACAAGTCTTCCAAGCGCCCATACCCAAGTATGTGCTCGGGATAATAAGTCGGTGACTTGCCTCGATGGCTTATGCAACGACCGGTCCTTAACCGACACAGACAGGGAAAGCAGTGTAACCAAGCCATGCCCCGCGTCCACGGTGACACAACCTCTTACACCCACCAATACCCAAACCATATCCCTGCCCGGTCACAATTTTTCCTTTCCACCATTTATATTTTTCAAGTGATAATAATGTAGTAATATATTTCCTATCTCTCGCGAGTGACAGGCAATCACTCGACTTCTACCGGAGTCCTGTAGCATAGCAATCTATACGATACTATCATACTAGTAAGACTCATAGGATAAAGATATATATATGCAAGTGGGTTTCAATCAACTCCTTAAAACTTAATGCACAAATATAATTTAAACTGCAAAAAGTAGGGGTTATGCACCGGGGCTTGCCTGGGTAAGATTTATATTAACAAGTTAGTATTTGCATCCTCAGATCATCCACCATCATCTGAATAGAAAGCCCATAGTATCATCTCCGGGAGATAATACCATTACACCATCTTCGGATTCCCAATCATCCTTCAATTGATCGGTTGATCCATCATCGTATCTAGATGATATGCATTGATGCAAATGCATAGATGTAAATAATCAACGACAGCCGAAATGTTTAGAAATCCGATCACGCCTCACAAGCTAACGAGATAGCTCTAACACTGGTCTACGTATCTAAGTTGTCGAATAAGACGTTAATTTCCAACAATTATTTTAGTTATATAAACCCAAGGTGTTTCTCTATTTCATTATATCGATTTAACCATTATTCGAAATAGGGCATTATTATCTATCTAGCAAACTAATTATTCTGGAGCTACAAAAATTTTAGGGAGTACCTAATATTGCTAGGAGTCTATCGTAAAAATTTCATATCCAACATTGTTACCAATTTATCACAACAATTCCTACAAGTTTATATTTTTACAATATGAAGTACTTTAAATTAATTATATAGTTTCCAATAATATTATCAAACTATGTGAACAAAATATACTAACAGGTAGACCATGATTTTATGAGACTAACAAAACTGGTTTCATAATTTTTGGACAAATACACAATTTTATATTAATTTTACAAGTTTCTTCCCGAAACTAAATTAGCAACTGCTTTACAAACTAAAGGGACAGTAGTCATCAAATCGGCCCAGCGGTCAGAGCAGCCCAGGTGGGGCGTGGCATGCGCGGCCCAGGCGTGGCAGTCAGTGGCCCAGCCAGGCGAGCACGGGACTGGCCCAGACGGGCTAGCACGGCCCAAGCGACACTGGCGGCCCAAACGGGGCGGAGCGCGTGCACGGCGCGAGCGGTGGCCCAGCAGCGCGACAATGACTGGCCGACCCAGCGATAGGCAGGCCGACGGCCCACGCGCGGCGTGGCGAGCAGGCTGGCCCACATGGCCAGGGCTAGGCAGCGGCGACGCCAATTTGCACCAAGGCCCTCGTGCTTTACTTAAATCAACCCGTAGGACATTGGCACTATTCTGGTGAGTCACGTATTTCGCAGTAAGGACCCTATATAAAATTTCACTTGGATTCTTACCCTTCTCACCTTCCTTCCTTTCCCAGGAGCAGAGTGCACGGAGCAGAGGAGCACGGCGGCGGAGGGAAATTCACCGGCGAGGCGCACGGGAGCCCGCACGGGGAGGTGCGCGGCTACTATCGGGTTCGTCTGGCCGTGGCGCGGAGATGGCGGAGCGTCGGCATGGCCACGATGCACGGACCACAGAGGAGGCACTCAGAAGGGGGCACCAGTGGCGCGGGTGCGCCTGCGCGCGTGATGGTTAGGCAGCAGCATCGGCACGGGCGCACGAAAGGGCAGTGGTCCAGCACGGGAATGGAGGAACGATGCTCTAGGCGCAGCGGCGGCACGTGCACGTGAGGAGGAAAAAGGCGTGGGCCAGGGCACACACTGTGGCCACGCGCGGCCGCGACAGGTAAGCCAGCAACGGCGGCGGGGCCATGGAGCAGTGGGCCCGGCACGGGCCGAGAAGCTCGCGCGCGTAGCGGCACTGCAGCGGACGTGACTGCGGCAAGGGAGGAGGTATGCCAGCGGTGGAGACAGAAGCGGGGAAGTGGCGTGCCGGACTCGGCCGAGGGAGATGGCCGGCCACGGTAGGGCATGGACGGACCGGCTGGTGCGGCGCGGCACGACGGCGGTGACCCCGGTGGTTGCTCGAGGGCGAGGTGGCTGCGGGCGCGAGAGGGGAAGCGGCAGGGACACCGGCGTGCGGGGCGCTGCGGCTCGGCACGTGGAGGAGCAGCAGGTCCACGTGGGGCCAGGACACGCGCGGGGGAGGAAGAGGAGGGTGGCGCTACAGACACGGGGCAGCGCAGCGGGAAAAGGCAAGTGGAGCTGTGATGCAGTGTGGGGAAGATGCAGGCCCAGCGCGGAGAAGGAACGAGCGACGCGGGTCCAGGGCGGGGCAGCAGTCCCGAGCGGCCGAGGGGCCCGCGCGCTCGCGCGCGGTGGCCTAGCAGCAGCGCTACAGCGGCCACGGCGGGGCGGTGGTGCGGGGCAATGCGGCTGCTGCGGGTCATGAGGAGCTCGGGCGCACACGGTGGCGCGGAGCACTGCGGCGGGACGGCGCGGATCCCGGCGGGGCACGGTAGCCAGCAGCGCTGCGAGCGAGGAGGATGAGCATTAGCTAGGGCGCCGATGGGCAGCAAAGAAGAAAAGGGAGGAGGAGGCAGCGCTGCGGGGTAGCGAGCAGGGAGCCGGGAGCACCGGTGGCGTGCGGCAGCAACGCGGCTCGGCTTTCGGCTTAAGGCGCACGAGGGCAGCAACAGCAGTGAGTGCGGCCAAGGTCTGGAAGGACGAGAGTGGGGCCGACGAGGAAGCAAGCGCACGCGGGCGGCCGACCAAGGCGTGCGCAGGGCAGTGCCAGCGAGGACAGCACGCCAAGGTCACTAATTCGACGAGACAACGGAGGCAGGCAAGGATGAGACCGCGCAAGTCGGGCAAAGAGACAAGACAAGATGCATTTGACAAACAGGCGCGCGAGATAGAGCGGGGAAAAGAAAAAGGACCTGCTGCATGCTTGAATACTCGGTGCGACTGCCGTTCACATAAAAAATATCGGACGCGATAGCTCATACTCGTAGCACGCCATGGAACAAAATATTAAAGCGTTATGTAATTCTTTTGCACAAAACAAATCGCCACAAACATTTTAAAATATAATTCTCGATTTTTTACCGTTGACGCGGAAAGCTGGTTTTTAAAATTTTAAAATCCAAGAAAAATTGTTTCGAAATTTTTTCTGAGGCCTAAATCACGGTGCTAAACAAGATCGTAACACCAGGGGTGTTACAGGTCGTTGTTTGGATTACTTTGACATGTACACGGTGCCTCACCGCCGTTGGGTTAAGGTCGCCACCATGCACATGACCGTGGCCACGACTCGCTGGTTTCAGTCTGTGGAAGATCAGATTCGTCAAGGCACTTGAGAATTTTTTTGTCAGGCTGTCATGGAGCATTTTGGCAAGGATCAGCATGCTCTTCTGATCCGCCAGCTCTTTCACATATATCAAGCTAGGTCTGTGCAGGAGTATATAGATAAGTACACTGGGTTAGTGGAGCAATTGATCGCTTATGGTCGCAATACCGATCCTCTGTACTATGCTATTAGATTTGTTGACGGTCTCCGTGCTGATATTCGTGCTGCTGTACATTTGCAATGACCCGCTACTCTAGATACTGCCTGCATGCTCGCCTTGTTGCAGGAAGAGCTGGTGGATCCAGGACGTCGGCGCGATGTTCGGAGGCCGGAACCGTTCACATTTGCCAAGGCAGCGCCACGGGGTCCCTTGCCCCTTTCTCTACCACCACTCCGACCTGAGCGCCAGGACAAGCCGGCCGCACCATGAGCTGTGCCTAATGATAGGCGTGGCCGTGGAATTGAGTCCAAGCTGAACACCCTGCGCGACTACCACCGATCTCGGGGCCTCTGCATCCATTGTGGTGAGAAGTGGTCACGCGATCACAAATGTTCAGAGACTGTCCAACTCCATGTCTTATAGGAATTCTGGGACATTTGTCATTCGAATGACGGTTCAGACTCTGCATCGGTACAGGATGATGATGCACCACAGTGCGTGGCTATTTCTATGGCAGCATCTGGTAATGCTCGACCTGCTCGTGCTATTCAGTTTTTGGGCACTGTGCGGGGACATCAGGCTCGGATTTTGGTGGACTCCGGTAGCACTCACACTTTTGTCAGTCAATCTCTGGCCTCTCAGTTATCTGGAGTTTCTACTTTCAGTCCTGCTCTCCATGTTATAGTGGCTTATGGCTCTCAGTTGCTCTGTTGTTCCCATATTGAACGGTTGTCTTGGTCGGTTCAGCAATGTGAATTTGTCTCTGCAGCCAAGATTTTACCTCTAACATCTTATGAGTTGATTGTTGGAATGGACTGGCTGGCTTCTTGCAGTCCAATGCAAGTGGATTGGCACCACAAATGGCTTTTAATTCCTTATGGTCAAGGCCACCGTTTCTTGCAAGGTGAGCTGATGATTCTACCTACTGGTTCTGTCATTCAGGTTACCGCTCTGTTGTCGGATGACACTGTAGCTCGTCAGGAGCCTGTTCCGCCTGAGATTGCAGATCTATTAACTAAGTTCCAGTCTGTCTTTGCTCCTCCGGCTGGCTATCCACCGGCACGTCATTGTGATCATGCCATTCCATTAATACCTAGTGCCAGTCCATTTTCAATAAGACCCTACCGTTACCCTCCATTGATTAAGGATGAAATTGAGCGTCAAGTTACTGAAATGTTGCAAGCCGGATTATCCAGCATAGTTCTAGTCCATTCTCTTCGTCAGTTTTGCTAGTCAAGAAGAAAGACGGCACGTATCATTTTTGCGTGGACTTCAGGCAGCTCAATGCCATCACAGTCAAGGCTAAATATCCAGTGCCAGTCATTGAAGAGCTCCTCGATGAACTCACACGTGCATCTTGGTTTTCTTGTCTTGATCTGACAGCTAGATACCATCAGATACGTTTGAAGAGTGGGGAAGAGTTCAAAACTGCTTTTCAAGCTCACACCGGCCATTACAAGTTTCATGTCATGGCCTTTGGTCTCACCGGAGCTCCGGCCACATTTCTCAAGGCTATGAACACTACCCTGCACCCTCTGTTGCGCAAGTGTGTACTAGTCTTCTTCGACGACATTCTCATTTTTAGTCGTTCATATGAAGAACATGTTGAGCATTTGCGGTTGGTCTTTCAGTTGCTTCAGCAAGATCAGTGGCAAGTTAAGATGTCTAAATGTCATTTTGCACAAAGACAGTTTCGTTATTTGGGGCATGTTATCTCGGAGGAGGGTGTGGCCACCGATCCTGATAAGATTACTGTTGTCTTGCAATGGCCTGTTCCACAGTCAGTTAAAGAATTACGTAGCTTCTTGGGCCTAGCGAGCTACTACAGACGCTTTATTAAGCACTTTGGCATCATATCAAAACCCTTAACGGATCTTCTTCGCAAAGGTGCAGTTTCTGTATGGATAGATATCCAGGACAAGGCCTTCTCAGCCCTGAAGCAAGCTCTGACAACCGCCCCGATGTTGGCCCTACCCGATTTCAGTCGCCCTTTTGCTGTTGAAACTGATGCTAGCGTTACTGGAATTGGTGTCGTGCTTATGCAAGGGGGCATCCTTTAGCATTTCTGAGCAAAGCCTTAGGACCCCGATCTCAAGGGTTATCCACATACGAGAAAGAGTATATGGCGATCTTGCTGGCTCTAGAGCACTGGCGTAGTTATCTGCAACATGCCGAGTTTCATATCATCACCGATCATCGTAGCCTGGTGCAGTTGACAGAACAAAGGCTTCACACACCCTAGCAGCAAAAAGTCTTTACAAAGCTCATTGGCCTGCAGTATCAAATTGTATACCGCAAAGGCGCGGACAATGGCGCGGCTGATGCTCTCTCCCGTTGTCCTCCTGCACATTTGGCCGCGTTGTCGGTTTGTCAGGCCCAGTGGCTGGACGCAGTGGTGGAATCCTACTCTAACGATGCTTGAGCGCAGGAATTGCTTGCCAAGCTGGCCGTTTCCCCGAATTCAGTACCCAACTTCACTCTTCGTGATGGGTTGCTGCGTTACAAGTGTCGTATCTGGGTGAGTGCTGACCCTGAGTTGCAAACTCGATTGATTATGGCGGTGCACTCTACTGCTGTCGGTGGGCACTCAGGCATGTCCGTCACATATCGCCGTTTGAAACAAATCTTTGCCTGGACCGGCATGAAGTCAGCAGTTCAATCTTTTGTCGCTGCTTGTGTTATCTGCCAACAAGCTAAGCCTGACCGTACCAAGCTGCCCGGCCTCTTGCAGCCATTGCCAGTTCCTGACAGTGCCTGGTCAGTTATATCCATGGATTTTATTGAAGGGCTTCCATCCTCAAAGGGTTCTAACTGCATCGTGGTGATAGTTGATCTCTTTTCCAAGTATGCTCACTTTTTGGCTCTCAAGCATCCTTTTACTGCTAGGTCAGTTGCTCAGTCCTTTCTCTCTCAAGTGTATAAGCTACACGATATGCCGCAAACCATTGTCTCGGATCGTGACAGTCTTTACAAGTCATTTCTGGCGTGAGCTGTTTCAGTTGGCCGGAGTTGAGCTGCGGATGAGCACCGCTTACCATCCGCAATCGGATGGTCAAACCGAACGGGTCAATCAGTGTGTTGAGACGTTCTTGCGTTGCTTCGTGCACGCCTGCCCTCATCAGTGGCGACAGTGGTTGGATCAAGCTGAGTTTTGGTATAACACCAATTGGCATTCAGCTTTGGGGCGTTCTCCTTTTGAAGTATTGTATGGTTATGCACCGCGCCATTTCGGCATTGCCACTTCTCCAGACACAACCGTCACCGACTTGGCTACTTGGTTGTCTGATCGTGCTCTGATGACCGATGTCATTTGCCAGCATCTGAACCGCGCTAAACAGCGTATGAAGAAGCAAGCTGATGAGCACCGGTCAGAACGTCAGTTCCAGATTGGTGATATGGTCTTCGTCAAGATCCAGCCATACGTGCAATCATCCTTAGCACAGCGCAGTAATCAGAAACTTGCATTCAAATTCTTTGGACCCTATCGTATTCTGGCTCGAGTGGGATCCGTGGCTTACAGGCTTGAGCTTCCGGCTTCTTCTTCGGTGCACCCGGTGTTCCATGTTTCACAGCTTAAGAAGTCGGTGGGAGCTCACCATTCTGTCACCCATCATCCGCCTTCTGATGCAGTACTCTGGAGTGTTTCCGAGCAAATTCTTTAGACTCGATCCATCGCCAAGGGTACGCGCTCTATTGCTCAAAGTTTAATTCAGTGGTCTAACTTGCCAAGATCTCTAGCTACTTGGGAAGACTTGGACTTTCTTCGGCAGCAGTTTCCCCGCGCCACCGTCTGGAACCGGCTTGGCGCGCAAGGGAGGGGGAGTGTTACGACTGGACCGACTACTGTTACGCGTCCGACACAAGAGTCTGGAGAAGGAGCGCGGGATGCTGAGCCGCAGCAGGAGCCTAGGCCGTGGCTGCTAAGGTCCAACAGGCCAGGTTGCCCAACCAGCGTATTACAGGGAAGGACTGGACCACGGCGTGAGCTTCAACATAAATATGTAATGTTGTGAGGAGGAGGAGATCATGAAAGATTATTGTAACAAACTCTTGCCTTCTCCTGCAAGCACTTCTCTGATCCCCAACCTTGTGCTTTGCTGCCCTTCCTTCATTCCAGTTCCTGCTGCCCAGTCTGAACTCTGTATGATCGCTACTCTGAAATACATGGACTCTGTCTGAGAGCGTAACAATCACCAAATGTTTGAGTGCATTGCACTCATATCCAAACCGGCAATCAATGTCAACTGAAGACAGACAGATGACAAAAATGTGTAGTTCTGCGTTCTGCCGATCTCTGAGGGCATGCAACTGTTGAGGCAACAAAATGATGGATGCAGTGACAGTGCTGAGCAGCTTGCACCATTGTAGGGCCTTGTTTAGATCCTTGTTTCCAGATTTTTCACTCTCTCAAAATTCAATTTTTAACACTTGCATGGATCAAATTTAACTTGCATGGACAATTAAATTAAATGTAGGTAAAAAAAATAACTAATTGCACAGTTTAGTTGGAAATCACGAGATGAATCTTTTGAACTTAGTTGGTCTACGATTGGACAATATTTACCAAATAAGACGAAAGTGCTACTATTCATCGGGTTGAAATTTTCTTCAATCTAAACAAGGCCTAGGGGTACTGGAAGTTAGAGAACATGACTGATGCAGTGATCTCTGGGGATGTCTGATGTTACTGAACGGTCAACCAGCGCTGCTGCAGCAGGCGCCATTAACTATCAGAGCAGCCATCTCTGATGCATATGGAGGAGCTCAGGACAGCCATGCATGACCAAAGCCTGCAGACTGATGAGCTCATGAACAGAAACGTACCATTGGGATTCCAGCTGGTAACACACTCTTCTGAATGCCTTTCGTCTGCCAGCCTCCATCACTTGGACCAGACCTGCCTACCAACATGCGTGGCCATCGGCCAATTGCTAACATTAACTTGCATCCAGCAAACCACAATAAGATTAACTGAGATCTATTAACGCTTGGGAGTAAGGTTTATGAGCTCTTTTCTCAATGTGATGCAGCACATCAGAGTGTTGCCGCCAAGATAACTGAATTGATGACAAACATAATCATGAAATGTAGCAGTGCAGAATGCATTAGCAACTGTCCACGGTCCCACTTCAGTGAAGTTACTGAATTGATGTTTCTCATGCTTCCAACTTGCCAAACATATACATCCAGTGGCCATCAAAAGGATAAACTGAAGGTAGCATGATTGCATGACTAAACATCACTGCACAGTGACAACTTCCAGTCTTATTCACATTATGTACCTACCAGAAAAAATACATCAAGATCGAAACATCCCAAAACAGCTAAAGATTGAATTTATTGTATTTAATGTCAGTGCAGGATCTTCTCAGAAATGTGCAGATTTGCTGTTTTAGTTACAGTCGCATGATGTGCAATATAGATCCATTAACTTCGCCACTTTACGGCTTATCCTTTTTTTTAGGAGCGGCAGGGAAGCCCCCTACCTGTTTTTTTTAATATATATATATATAGCGAAAAAAAGATATGTACATTTTACATGGTTTGCAAAGCCCAAAGAAAAAAGTAGCAAAGATTAACAAAGAAAGAGGGGTTGCCAAGCTTTGCTAGGCTTTGATACACACCAAACCAAGCTCCTCCTTAAAGGCTAATTTCCAAGAAGCTAAAGTGCTTGCCCTATTGTCAAAAATGACCCCGTTCCTAGCATTCCATATTGTCCAGCAGGCTGTGATGAAGATCTCTATGTGACTACCAAAAACTGTTCTTGCTTGGATGATCATGTCCAAAGGTTGAAGATTCAAGTTCCAGTGAATGGAAAGGATGTTCCAGCAGCCAATACTGAAAGGGCACTCAAAAAACAGACGAAAACTGGTTTCTTCAGAACCAATACTGGTCAATATCATAATGGAAGAAATACAAAAATGTTGTTTGCATGTTACTCGAATGTCAAAATAGTCTAACTGTCCAGGTGAAAACATCGTCACCAAGCTATCACTAGAACTGCATCTATAAAATAAAAGTCGTGGCATGCTTAGTGATTAGTGATCGAGGGACCATCAGCTACTGGAATAGGATGGACTCAAGAGCTTCCTGAATCAGTTCAACTGGAATGCTAAAACTTCAGGTCACACTTTTTGCAAGCTGAGCAACATTCAGTTAGCAGTTGAGTATGTAATAATGTCCTCTTGTAGATACGCAGAAAATGCAAGCACAGGCAAACAATCTCTGAAAGCCACAGGAAGAGAATAATGAAATTGAAATCAAAGTAAGGACAAAGACAAGCATGCATTTACTGACCGAACTATTTGGCTATACAAACAGCGTCAGAAACTCAGAATAGCAAGTGCGGGGAACTTTTATAGGACAATGGTTGTAGAATTAATCTCAAAAGAGGATGAGAAATACTGGCTGAAGAGCAGTTGCCCACATAATCTGGAACTCAAAAAACCAAAATGTAATTTTCCAGATGCCTAAAATAGAAGCTCTGTAGATGTATTTAGGGCCCATTTGGAATGCAGGAAATTCACAGGAATCAGTTCAATTTCACATAAAAACACAGAAACAGGTTAAAAAAACACATCCCGAACAGGGCCTGAATTCTTCAGAAGGATTATCATCCTTGTGCATGTACTACTGTCCCCATTTTCTCAGCATGATTGAAAGGGAATTTTGAGGTCTAAAACTATCAAACGTGTTATGTGATAATAGGCTACGGACCTGGTTACCAGCCTGGGGAACCTAGCATCTACGAGGCTGCTTGGTTCCCAGCGAGGTCTTGCCTCGCCCAGCCTGCTGTGCTCGCATGGTCGACAAGGTGCTTGCCCAGACGACCGAGCCGATTTGGCTCTCCCTTGCCAGCAAGGGAAATCTCACCCACACAAGCTACGGAGCACTCAGCTGGGAGAACGAAACAAAGCTGCTGATTCACCATCCTCGCTCGGCGAGGCATCACAGTGCTGAGCGACAGAACCAAGCAGCCCCTTAACACTTCTTTTATAATGAGAAACCCAAATGTCATTACCAAGTACAAACAGCATAAGCAAGCATAGACTATTTATTTCTCAAATAGGATTTCTGGCATGGTCTCACCATTTCCATTGTAGAGTAACGGAATATATATAAGAATGAAAAGGGCATTAAATAAAAAACTTGAGGGGATCACTTGTAAAATAACAGTTTACCATTAACTCATCTAAATTGGCACTGATGGAGAAGGACTAATCATTATTTTCGGGTAGAACCGGCAATGAATATGCAGGAAATACTGCATGAGGCAATCCTTGCGCCTTCTTCTTGAGCTGCTCTAAAAGCCTATGAGCTTCCCTGAGGTCCTCAAAGGCACCACTGCCACACCTACTGTAGGCATCTATGACTTGTTCTTGAAAGTCTATAGCAAGTTTGTAGCTGCAACCAAAGTAGCATTAAATGTAAAAATGGCCAAAACGGTATCTGTGGTGTAAAAACAGTTACTCTACAAGGCACCATGCTACACATTCCCACAAAACAAATGTTGCATTCAGTTGTATATATTGACATTATCAAGCGTAAAGCCACTGAGAGTCACTATGCTAAAACGTGATTACAGCAAAACAAAAGTGACTATAATTATATTCATTCATGCGCTAAAACAGGGGAATTCATTGCCACAGAACATCGCTAGTATCGGAACAACGTCGATGAAGGCGTGTAGGTTCACCATTACCTGGTAGGGACTGCAATTTTTCTTGCATAAAAACAACAGGTATTATTTACAGCATCGCAATGACATTAGTTTCTGCGTCAGTAGGTCATTTCTTAGAACATTAGATTTTTCATTGGGTTAAAATCCATCCTCACATGTACATAAATAACAAAGGATTGTATCCAATCAGTTAATCAACATCCTATTGCAGTATTACTTATACCAATTTTAAACTCTTCAATCAATCTATTCTAACAGATAAGCAGGCAAGCAGCAGTCGAGTTTTTTTAATAGATAAGCAGCAAATATAAGGTCATGTAGGCCACAAAAATTGGGTAATGACTCAATGGACACTTGGATAGCACAAGAGCATTAAGGCCCTGTTTGGATCCATCCAGCTAACTATTAGCTGCTAACAATTAGCTGGGGTGGATCCAAACAGACTCAGCTAATTGTTAGCTGGGCACCCAGCTGAAAACTACTAAGACTGTCTCCAACGATGGAGACCTAAACACAACACGCATTGTATGATTTAGGTCATGCACAGTAGAAAAGGTCCGTACCTAAAATTTCGATTCTCCAACAGGCGACGCAAATCAGCCAGTGCTGTGACGCAAATCGCTTCCATCTCCAAGTTCCTGGAGCCGGTGGCCGCGAGATCCGGCGGCGAGAGGGCGCCCCCACTCCCCGCCGGCGCCTCGTCCTCCTCCTTCGCCAGGACCCTGCGCCGCGGCGGGGCGCACCACCCGCGCCTGCGCACCGCGCTCGCCGTCTCCTCCGACCTGCTCGCGGGGAACAAGGCCGCCGCCACGCATCCGGCTGCTCCTCGCCGCGCCAGCGGCTCCCCGCAGCAGCCCTGCCTGGCCGCGCCGGCCGCATCCGCCGCGGACCCGCCGGCGGCTCCCCGCCGCGGGCTAGTCTCGCCAAGCCGGCCGCGCCCCATCAGCGCCGGGCGGGCAGGAAGGGGCTGGGCGCCGTGGGGCCTCAGATCCGGCCGAGCCCGGGCTTTGGCTGGGGGGCGGCGGAGGTGTGGGGTCGGCAGCGGTGCTCGGCGTGAGAGGGAGGGAGTGGAGCGGGGAAGCAGGGCAGGGGCGGCAGCGGTGCTTGCTGCGGCCCGGCGGAGCAAGGCGAGGGCGGCGGACGGCATATTCCGTTCCTGGTTGTCCGCGCGCAGCAGCAAGAGAGAAGGGGGCAGGGGAAAAAAGGAAGAGCAGAGCAGAGGGGGAAGAAGGGGGAGGAAGCAGAGCACTACGACGCAGCGACCCCGGCGCGACGGCGGCTTCAGCGGCAGAGGGCGCGGCGCTCCGACGGCTTCAAGCTCCGGCAGCGGTCCGGCTTCTCCATCGCGTGCCGCCGCGGCCACCATCGGAGATTTGAGTAGCGAGGAGAGAGGCGACGCTTTTTTGCGTTTCGCTTGGGCTTGTAGGCAAAATGCGTCGTGTGGATGGGTCGTCCGTTGGAGACACGATTTGATAGGCATATGCACTGTACAAGACTTATTTTTGGGTTTGGCTATCCCGTTGGAGTCAGTCTAACTCCGTCCCAGAAAGGATGCAATTCTAGAATCGTGTTTAGTCAAACCCTCTTAAGTTTGACTAAATTTGTATAAGATACTGATATTTATCATACTAAATACCATATCATTATATTCACCATGCAACATATTTTCATAGTGTACCTATTTGAAGTCATAAATGTCGATAATATTTTCTATAAACTTGGTCAAAGTTAAGATAGTTTGACTCGGACCAAACCTAAGATAGTTTGACTTGGACCAAACCTAGCATCACATCCTTTTGGGGTGGAGGGAGTATCTCAGTAGTTATCCTAGCACAGCTAATTGCAGCTCATAACTCATATATTGCAAAAAGACACTTTTGTCCTCCCACCTACCTTTATCCATGTGCCCTACCAATAGCAAATAAAAAAGAAAGGGATAGACAAAACCACCAACGCGTCCACCTATAGCTAGTGGATCCAAACAGCACCCAGCTAGCTACCTAATATTAGCTGTGAACTAGTAGGCAGCTAACAATTAGCTGTTAGTCGGTCCAAATAGGGCCTTACTTACAGGCAATAGTTGAGTGTTAAGATTGCATGTCTATATCAGTACAAAAAGGAACATTAACAATGGAAGTCATCAAAACATAAGCACACAGAATAAATTACCTTCCCATCAGTCCGTATGCATTTGCAAGGGACTGTTTTGTGTCAATAGAATCCTCATGTGTCGGTCCAAATGTAGCTTCAATAATATCAATTGCAAGTGTGTAGAACTTCACAGCTGACTGATGTTGGTCCATTTCAAGATAGGCCTGCCCCAGATTCCTATAAGCAAAACCTAACCCAAAGTGCCGTGGTCCAAAGCAATTCTTCAACTTATCAACCGCTCTCTCCAGATAAGGAACAGACTCATCAGCTTTATGAGTATGCAGGAGGAGCCACCCCATCCTTGCTGAGATGCTGCCTTCAATGTGATGCATCTCCTTGGCGCTCTCAAGAATTGCAAGTGTTTTCTTCATCAAGCTCAAAGACATGTCAAGCGAGCTCAAAGGCATTTCAAACTGTGTCATCGATTCATACAACATTGATATCTCAGCATATGCCTCAGCAAAACGGCCAGGGTCAATGGAATCCTTTGCGTCGATGATCCCCCGGGCAATCTCCAAGCACCGCTTCGAGTCTGAAACCCTCTCCTCGGAGATTAATATCTTTGCCATTGTGACATATGCCAGTGCACGCTCCTCGCTCTCCTTGTCTGCCCGCTGCATCACCCTCTTAATGTCATTCATCGCCTCCTCTGATCTCCCCAACAAGATACGGATATTAGCCCCATCAGTTTCGGTCTGGGAAAGGTCGACATTCAATCCCAATCGCTCATATACCATCCTTGCAAGCTCAATTTGCTCAAGAGCCTCTGCATGGCGACCCAACCCAGTATAGATAGCCATGAGAAGTCGCCGGAGCTTAGCCACTTCTGCCGAGTCCTCACCGAACTGCCCCTCCGCAATGCCCAACGCTTTGGAACACAATGGCAGCGCCTTGTCAAAGTCGAGCACGCCAGCATAGGCCTCGGTGACGTCCCTGTAGGCGTCCCCAAGCTCCACGCTCCCTCCCTCCAGATACCGGAGCTTCAGGTCCAGCGCGCGCTGGAGATCACCCACCGCGTCCCACCGGTGCCCCATGGCCGTCTTGGCGCGCCCCAGCTGCTCGTACACGGCGGAGCCGACAGCCGCCACCTCCTTAGGCACCCCCTCGCACCGCGCGGGTGCCAGGTAGTCGACGATCTCCGCGGCGGCGCCGAGGGACTCGAGCGCGTCGCTGAGGCTGCCGGCGCGGGCGGCCGCGGCGCCGGCGAGGCGGAGCGCGCGCGCGACGGGGAGCGACCACCCGCCGTGGGACGCCTGCAGCGGCGCGAGCGCCTTGAGGGCGAGGCCGAGGGCCTCCTGGTGGTCTCCCTTGGACTCGTGCAGCTCCGCGGCCTCCAGAAGCGCGAGGCCCGCGGGCTCGGCCGTCGACGCCGCATCTGGCGCAGGGAGAGGAGGAGGGCCCGGGGCTAGGGTTTGAGTGGAGAAGGGGAGGAGGCGGGGACCCGGGCGCGGGGGCTGGGGAGGCGAAGGGTGGAGCGGCGGGAGCGGGAGCGGGGGGCGGTAGCGGAGGGGCCTGGAGAGGCAGGCGAAGAGGAGGGATTTCGGCAGCCGCCGCATCGCTCGCCGGGGTTTACAGGTTGGGGCCGCGGTGGCAGGAGAACGAGGGTTTTAGCGGGTGTTCACTGCTCGCGCGCCCTTAAAAGCTGGCTGCTTTAATCTGCTTCTTTTTTTTCAATTCAGAACAGTGTTTTTCTCTCACAAATTTTATTAGCATTTCTTCAAATCATTCAAATTCCTCCGTAATTTCTCAGCCGAACACCCCCTGTACCGTATCTGTATGCATCTCCGGTAGTTTCGTAGACAAAAGGAGCCTTCCTCTCCCTTTCGTTGCCAGGAGAACGGGATGCATCGCCTGTGTGCGAGATAGGAACTGTGGTACGATAGGACCACGATAAGCAAACCACCACACTCAGGGTGTGTTTAACACTCAGGGTGTGTTTAGCAGAGGAGGTGAAAAAATTTTTTTGCCACATCAGATGTGTCAGAAGTATGTTGGAAAGGGTTTTTAATACTAATAAAAAAATAAATTACAGAACCCATCAGAAAACTGCGAGACGAATCTAATGATACTAATTAATCGGTCATTAGCACATGTGGGTTACTGTAGCGCTTAAGGCTTTTCATGGACTAATTAGGCTTAAAAGATTCGTCTCGCGATGTTGCCGAGAACTGTGCAATTAGTTTTTTTTTTGTCTACATTTAGTACTCCATACATGTGTCAAACATACTCTTTTACCGTAGGAGAAAAAAAAAAGAAAACAACACCCCTTGTCTTCGCTGTCATGTCTCGTAGCACTCGTTCCTTGTTGGTACAGCTGCCTCGCCGAGACCCCCAAATAGATAATCTTAATATTCATATAGAACAGATAAAATTCATGAACTCAAGTATTGCCAAGCAAAATAAATGAATCTAGGTTAGATGTTGATCTGTGTTCAATAGAAGTTTTTTGTTCTGATGGAGTGATATAACATAGTGCGACGTCTAATTATTTTTATTACTTTTAGTAGAAAAACGCCAATGTGCTAAATGGTTTGAATTGATTTTTTTGTCTTGTCTAAACTAACAATATGAATTTAGAACAGTATATAATGCAACACAACAACAAACTAACAAGTTACAGAAGTGAAAGCTTTCTTACCTCAGTTTTGGTTGGAACACAGTCATTCTAAAAGAAAAAAGATAGGTCGTGAGTGCAAATTCACATATTCATGTACGATATATGCTGGTTTTGTACTTGAAGTCTTCAATGAATAAACACATATGGTTTACCTCCGTGAGATTGAATCAAATGTCGATATCCTCTTTGGCCTGTGTTTCTCGGGTGCGTGCTGTTGCATATATATCTTGAACAGACGTCGCTTCTTAGCTCAAAATCGGCATCACCTAAACCATGACAAATAGGTAAGTAATAGGCGTAATAGAACACTAGAAAAAACGAATCACTTGTATACGAGGAATATAGTATGTAAAATAAAAAAGAATCACCCATATATGAGGAATGACTAATGAGGGTAGACTCCTTTGCAATGCAACGAATGTAAATACATAATTACAAAAGATGTTGAGAAATTTTCTGGTGAAAAAAACATAAATCAGAAAGGCTGGAGGTGGAACACGTGGAGGGTGGGTAAGAAATACGGCGAAAAAATGGCTTGAGAACATGCAATTTTTTTGGCAAACGCCGGTGTTTACCCATGTGTAAAGGTCTAAGTCCACCCGTCAGATAATAAATAGTAATCAACTAGATATGTTACACGTAAAATTTAAGGGTGAAAAACATAGGTGGACAGAAGGATTCAAGATAAGGCACATTTTTAATTTCTTTGCTCTTTTATAGTTTAGAATTAGTTAGATTTAGATTAGATTAGATAGATAGATTATCTTAGCATAGTTATTAGGGGCATTGTTTTAACATATCCTTATTATTAATTGCTTGATGATTATGTCACTATTGGTCCGAGAATGCTAATAACGTCTGGCCGCATAAGAGAAGACACAATCACCATGAGCTTATTGCACGAAAGAAACTAATAAAGGCCAAGCCCAAGCCCGAGCCACGTGAGTCTCACCGTGCTGGTTATGACGGTTAGGAGAGAGAGCATTGCATCGCTAAGAGCATCTCTAATATATATTTTATCTATTTTATATATACCTAGAAGTAGCATTTTAGGAGATAGAGGTGCGACAACAGATCTCCTATCTCATCTTCTATACCTATAGTTTTTTTAAAAAAAAAAATCTTAAAAGAAGCATCCTTTCTCCTAAATAAAGGAGACACCCCTTCTCCCCTAACCCTAAAGAAATATAGCATACAAGTTTTAGATAATCTACTACAGCAGTGGTCTCCTATGTCCTAAATTAATTTTAAGGCACTATTCTAATACACTTTATAGAGGATGTATTATAAGAGATCTGATGAAAATGCTCGAAGACTCTAACCGGTCTTGTGCGACGAGTACAAAGAAGGGCAGGGAAGCCAGCACCCACGCTCGGTATGTACACCACGCCCGTACTCCTGTTGCTCCTTCTCCTTTGTCATATCATCTACCACCGTGTCGCCCATCTCCTTGAAATCATTCACGGTCTCATAGTCAAAGCGTTTCTTTAGGAGTGTAGAAGGGGAGACTTGGCTGAAACTGGCTGGTTGTTGTGAGAGAGAAACACTATAGCGGCTGGTTGATGAACAGTGTCCGCTGAGGAGGAGCAGCCGGCTGGTCTGGTTTTACTAGACCAGCGAACGCGCCCAACGGCAGAGGCAGTCGTGGACGGAATGTCTGTGTTAATGATCTATGGATTATGTGTTAATATTACGCGGACTTAGGCCATGTTCGCTTCTCTTATAATCCGTCTTTTTCAGCTTGTTTTTTCAGCCGGAAGAGTGTTTTTCTCTCACAACAAATCAGTCGGAACAATGTTTTGTCTTGTTTTTTCAGCGAAGCGAACGGGGCCTTAATCGGGGAGGCTAGAGGTGGGATGTATCACTGGGGTGGGTAAGAAAACATCGAATTTTTTCTGGCTTGAATCGTTTGGCTATTTTGCTAGCGTGGATAACAAGAACCTTGCTAGGCCATGAGAACCAATTTGGCTCTCTTGCAACAGCAAGGAAAACTTGCCAGCACAGGAATAGATACGTTGGCTAGACATCCAAACAAGCTTCTAATCCTAATTCTTAGCACACGTAGGTGTGGATCTGTTTGGTTCTCTCCTGGGTGGAGGCGTGGAAGTGCTCCCACACGTCTGATTTCCATCGTCTGGGATCAGGACCGCATGCTTAGAAGGCAGATGTCTTCGGCCGCGATCCAAATCTACGGTGCTTGGCAAAAGATCGAAGCACGACCATAGTTTTTTTTTTTTTTTTGAGGAAAGCACGACCATAGATGCGGAACCTACTCATTCCTCCAGAGTTCAGGCCCATGACCTCACACACTCTCGTTACGCAGGCCCACACGGCCCATACCAACACATACGGCCGAGCCAACAGGCCCGTTACACAACGCGCAGTAGCCACAGGTCGCCTGTCAAGGGTGGGCGCTGTGTTTCATTGCTCCTGGCCACGGTCACGAGATGACGACGTTCGCTCGATCGTCCACGTTGATCGCCAATCCTCGATCGCGTTTTCCCGCGGGGGGAAGAACATGGTCCTGTATCCATCGCAACTTGCCGTTGCCGAGTATTTTCCGGATTCAGATTCTGGCTGACATGTTGCCATGAGCATGGCAAATAGCCGAATCCAGCGGCCACCGCATCTTTCTCCGGCGGGTGCCCACTGACCAACTGTATCATGAAGCATCATCGCGCGCCTCGCGCCATGAGAATATGATGATATCGTTTTCGCCCTCGCATTATATATTATTCCAACTCCAAAGGGCAAACTTGCAGCCGCTTTTTGTGGTTGTGCCGAGGAAATAACTCTGAGGTTTCATCTGAACCTGAACCCAAATACCACACCATCTGATTATCTGAGATCTGACTGGCCGGGCACAAATGGGGCGCAACCAAAATTCTCTCTGCCGGCTAGGAACAGATTCAAGTTATTCGCCCGGACGGCGACGGATTCCATTCTACGCAGTCGCAGTCTCGCAGAGATCGACAACACGGCCGGCGGTGACGCAACCACAGCGGCAGAAACAGCGAGGAGAACAGAAGAGACAGTCAGAATTGCCAATTGTTCGATGACGCACACACTGCGCCTACCTGGAGGCCACCCACATTCTTCTCTCCACTAGAGATGTTCGCCACTCACTCATCGTGCTTTTGCACAAAAGCTGTGGCTACATCCGGCGTCCGAGCGGGGATTCTTGCTCGGTTGCTCTTGCATTGCAGCGCAGTAACGCGCCGTTGTATTGCACGAAAGGCGATCCGGCGATCCGGTTTGGTGGGATGCGTGCGCACGTCGCGGCCTTCTGAGCGGCCACCATCTCGCTGTTGAGTGCACTCATGCAGATGAAACAAGCTTCCGTCTGCATGCATAACGAAGTTGGGGATCAGGTCAATCATGTTCCTGGCCGCACGCTGAGATTTACCGACTCGCAGGCGCTTAATGACCACAAGTTAATCTGCAGTGGTTTATTGGAACAAGGCATGGATTAAGTTAAGTGGATGCTCCATAGAAACCTAAGCTAGCTAGGCGTTGCAGATTATTAATAATAACACGATCGAAAGGATAGCGAGCTTAACGTACGGGGCTCAGGCTTTAAGCAAATCGAGCAGTGGTGACTGGTGAGCGAGCTGTTGACGCGACCGGAAAGCATTTGCCTTTGGTCCGTGCTAGTGTTTTGGCTTTCCCGTTTTGCTTTCCTTTTAAAAATCCAGAGTCAGCTTTTACAAAAATCATATAAGCACACAGGCCCGCAGGATACCTGTGTCCGCTTCTTTTGAAAAAAAAATTTTTTGTACCACTTGTTTTCAGCCACTGCAGCTCACGTAGTGCATCAGGGAAGAGACAAGAGGAGACGATCCCCACTCCATTAGCGAATATGTTTAGTCCGGAGGTTTGATGCTACCTAAGAGAACTAAATTTAAATTAATTATAAAACTAATTACATAGGAATAGGCTAATTAATGAGACAATCTATTAAGCCTAATCAATTCATAATTAGCACACACATAGTTAAATCATGGACTAATTAGACTTAATAGATTCGTCTCATAAATTAGTCTCAACCTGTGTAATTAGGGGGTGTTTGGTTCTTTAGTCGTTCCTAAAATTTATGTCACATCGAATGTTTAGATACTAATAAAGAATATTAAATATAGATTAATTACAAAATCAATTACATAGATGGAGGCTAATTTGCGAGATGATTTTTTAGCCTAATTAATCTGTCATTAGCACATATTTACTGTAGCACCACGTTGTCAAATCATGAACTAATTAGGCTTAAAAGATTCGTCTCACAAATTAGTCGCAAGTTATGTAATTAGTTTTATAATTAATCTATATTTAATACTCCATGCATGTGTCTAAATATTCGATGTGAGAGAAATTTTAGGAGCTCAGTTTTATATGTTTAATACTGTAAACTAATGTCAATCATCCGATATGACCGTGACTAATTTTAGGAGGGAACCAAGCACCCCAGCGCTCCATCTATCTCCTGGCTCTGAACCGAGCTGGCAACTGGAAAGCAGACACGTCAAGGCATAGCATACCTGCAACAGACTGCACTGTCATCGTGCAGCGAAACTGTACGCATAGCTACCCCAGACTGAGCTCAACACGGCAGCAGAGCACCTCTCTATCTGAAGGGGGCCAGGCCACGCACGCACATGCATGATATCCGCATACCTTTCCCGCTACAAACACTGGGCCAAATAACCGAAAGCGTCAGCACTGCTGCTAGTGCAAGTCTATCAGGAGTCCAGGAGCACTGGGATTTCAGCTTTCGCACGGCTCCAGATCGTAACTACACACGCACGCACACACCATCAGTTTTCTTCCATCTTTTTTTTGGACACAAGTAAACCCAGCTTTTGTAGAAAGCCAACACAGACAACATAGCTAGCGTCTGCCTTGTGCCGCTTCTTAGCATTTTGCTCCCACTTCTGTAATCATATTCATATCCTCCCACCCATCGTACGTCCTTCCCAGGATTAGCATTTTGCTCGGCACATCCTCCCACCCGTTTCGTACGTCCATCCCAGGATTAGCATTTTGCTCGGCACATCCAAGCCGATGCCGATCCCGACACCGACACCAGCGACAAGTTCCTGCTGCTTCTTCAGGAAGCCGAGGGAGAGGAAGAGGACATTGCGACATGCCTTGTGCCGCTTCCAGCTTGCCGTTTTGGCTGTTGCTGTGCGTTCAGGCCGTAGCTATCACCTATCAGGCTATCACGTCCGCGGTGACAGCACCATGCATCGGTTCTTCAGGCAGCAGTGGCCTGGGTCTGGTGGGAGCGGATCGAGCAGAGGGATGAGGGTCCTCCGTCCTGTTCGCTCGAGCTTATTCAGAACTTATTTTTTTTTATACAATAGTATTTTTTTTTCTTACAATATTTTATATAAACATCAGCGTAAACTTAAATTTCATCAGCGAAGAGCGTCAACGACTTCTCTTCACCAGCCCACGGCACGGCACCACAAGGCACAAGCTACCTGTCTCTATATAAACCAGCCCGCTCTGCTCTTACCACAACCGATCAACCTTTGCTTGTAGTGCTTGAGCTGAGCTGAGCTGCACTACTACTAGTTCTGCTGCAGGAAGGAATGGCTCTGCGGGAGGTCGCAGGCGGGTTGTGGGTGCGGTACGCGCCGCACGTGCTGATGGTGCTGGCGCAGCTGTGCTACACGCTCATGTACTTCATCACCGAGGCCGCCTTCAACGAGGGGCTCAACCCCTACGTCTACATCACCTACCGCCATCTGCTCGTCGCCGTCCTCATCTGGCCCTTCGCCTACTACCAGGAGAAGTAAGCTCACCCCAGCTCTCTTCGGTTGGCAAGAACTAGCTGTGACTTGTGATGGAAAGGTGGAACGTTCTGAACCCTGTTCGATCAAGTGCTCATGAGTTATGATGCATGGTCTTGTCTCTTTTCTTGCAGGGGGTTGAGGCCTAAAATGACGTTGATGCTGTTCATGGAGATATTTGTGCTCTCGCTTCTCGGGTAAGAACAAGATTATTGGCACGTAACTGATTCTATCTCTTCTTCTTTTTTGGGAGAAAGAAAGAAAACGGAAAGAAAGTAACTTGCTTACTTGCACGAAAATGGCAGCCTACGTGGGAGAGAAAATTAAAGAAATTTATTAACACATCAGCCTACGAAAATGCAGGGTGAGCTTAACTCTGAACATGTACTTCGCGAGCTTGAAGTACACGTCCCCGACGTTCGTCACCTCCGTGGTGAACACCATTGCCTCAATGACGTTCGTCATCGCCATCATCCTCAGGTGACAGACACGCCCTCATCCTACCCAGACGTCGGTTAGTTTCAGTCTGTCAGTTAGTTCCACCCACTGACGCCCATCTTACTTTTTTTTTAGAAGGGACGGCAAAAGCTTTGCCCTTGATTTTATTAGACTATAGAAAGACAAAAGAAGCGAAAATTTACAGACTCGACTTTACAGACCGAACACCACTCGCTCTACTTCTACTTGAACAACTTAAGACAAACTGTCTTGCTTGACTTCATCAGGATGGAGATCGTGGACGTGAAGAGCCTACGCGGGCTCGCCAAGATCGCAGGGACTGTGGTGTCTTTCGCCGGGGTGACCACCATGACTCTGTACAAAGGAGCAGCCATCACGAGCCTCTGGAAGTCGCCTGTTCATATCCCCGGCAGCGACAGCGGCGGTGGCGTTGCCCATGGGAGCTGGGTGAAAGGGTCAGTCCTCGCAGTGGCCAGCTGCATATGCTGGTCCATCTGGTACATCATGCAGGTGTTCAACCTGTCAGACTGTCACACACAAAACAGATAAACATATTGGAGATCAACATTACTCTGAAATTAAAACTGACGAAACTTGCTTGTCTATGGGTCTCATTCTGGTCCACGCATGACGGAATGCATGGCAGGCGTCGTCTCTGAAGAGGTACCCGGCCCAGCTCTCGCTGACGGCATGGATGTGCACGGTCGGGGGCATCCAGTCCACTGTTTTCACGGTGTTCATGCAGCACAAGCCGGAAGACTGGCGCATCGGCTTCGGCCTCAAGTTCTGGTGCATTGTCTACTCGGGCATCGCCTGCAACGGCTTCACGGTGTTCGTGCAGCTGTGGTGCACCGAGAAGAAAGGCCCCGTCTTCGTCACCATGTTCAACCCCCTCTCCACCATCATGGTCGCCATCCTGGCCTACTTCATCTTCGGCGAAAACCTATACGTCGGCAGGTACGTATGCACACACATGAAATGCTTGGTGCTGATGGTGTCACTCCTAAAGTTCAGTGATGTTCTTGGCTGAATTCTGATGCTGATGTACGTGCAGCATCGTCGGAGGCGGGGTTGTGATTGTGGGCCTCTACATGCTGCTGTGGGGAAAGGAGAAAGACCAAGAGCACGGCAGCACGGGCGAAGAGCGGGAACAGCTCGAGATGGACTGCGAGAAGCAGGCGAAGAAGGCCAGCGATGTCTACGGAGCGCCCAAGACGACGAAGTGAAGCACCAGCATCAGACGGGCTCAATCAAGAGCCCTGCCGCGCTCCAGTTCGGTTTTATATATGTGATGTACAGGGTCACCGATCCGATCTCGCGTCATCAGCTATGTATATGTGTGTATGCAACGCGGCAACAGACAGACGCCTGGCTCGTGGATCCCACCATGCCCATGGCCATGGGTGGGTATACCAAATTCAGCAGTCTGTGAAACCGTGACCTGGCCTCAAGCTGAGTATAGCAGTTGTATTGTAATGCTGAAGTGTCTTTTTGCCATGATGAATCGGGGACTGCTTGGTGAAACACGTCGTGTTTGCCGTGCCAATACTCGTCGGAAGACTAAAATAGGCACTCGTGGCCAACGGCTGTAGCAATGTCTGTGTCAACCAAAATGACAAACCTTTCTTAAAAAACCAAAATGACAAACCTTTCTAAAAAACCGAAATGACAAACCTTTCTAATAAAATAAAAAGAAAAATGACAAACGAGGGTAGGCTGAACGGGTTGACAGAAAAGTGGGCCTTTCCTGTACTAGCCCACTTTCTTTTCCGCCTCGGCCGACACTATGGGCTAGTTTGGCTACCAGGTCCAAAGATGTTCGCGCGACTTTTTGCCGAGACACTCCGGACAACTACAATTTGAGATTCAGAACCCACTCGCAATACGGTTTTTTCTGTATAAATATGAGTTAATTTCTACGAAATTCTTATTTCATTTCTGTGAAACTCCTGTACTGTGTATTCTAAAGAGACCCTGAATGTTTTTACCGCGTACTACTATACTGGAAGAACAATTCAAAGGCTCGAAAGTTTGAAGAAACTTCACCACCAGTGAAAAATCACGGGGCTTTCTTGTAAGCTCCACCGAGGTTTGTCGTGACTTTCACGGACGTGTACTCACTGGCGGTATGTACGGTCAAGGTCGTACCTATGTTTGTCAACAGAACCACTACCTCGGCCACCGTGTCGTGTCGGGCACGGTTCTCTGTATTTACAACGTTCGGACCCTGAAGGCTACAGAAGTTGATTCCCCCCTGAAAAGGCCTGAACTGAACATGGTTTAATTCCTAATCGAGCATCATTAGAACTTGAACCCTGCAGAAACAAGCTCGTGGAGCCTGTGACTGTGGTTTTTTAAACTTATTAGGGCACTCCCAACCCAGACTCTACGATACAGTCCATCCTTATTTATTATGGTGCCATATCAGCATTTTGATGATGTGGAAGGCAATTTAATGAAGAAAGAGAAGGAAACCGAGTCTTATTTGGACGCTGGGTCTTCGATACTCCCGAGGCCGCAAGAAACCACCATGCCTCGCGTTGTGGAGGGCAGCGTAGAGTCGATGGATCCCGTACGCCATCCATGCGCCGCCGCGCAACTCTCCTCTCTCTCGCACAGATGCGCTTATTCTCCCGCTCCTCCTCCTGGCCTCGCCCGAAACCGCCGCGATCGATCTCCCGCGTTTTCTCGACCTCCCGCTTTCTCAGCGCGTTTTCTCCTCTTTCAGCGGCGGCTTCGGGTGGAACAAGCTTCCCGTACTGCCACTATTGTTCGCCTGCATCTGTTGTTCACCGGCCGCGGAGTTCCGGCCATGGTTCCTTTCCCGCCTCGCGTCCGGCTTTGGTCCATACGCTAGGCTAGGGTTGCGGGGCCGGCGGTTGGGATGGCCGACTTGCGGTGGCGGGAGGGGCTCACGGCGACCACCGGACCCAGCGCAGCTCCCCTCCTCCCTTCCCCGCCGCTCTCTGCTCGAATCCGGCGCCACTCCTTCCGTCCCTACCACCTTGCCTCATGGAGGTGCGGGCCTTGAATCTGCTCAGCGATCACTGTGGAGGTCCGCCCCCCATTGTCTGAGCCCTGCCGGGCTGCTGCCTCGGCTGACGGACGTCTTCCTCCCTTGGATGTGCAGTACAAGGCGGTGCCTGAGGCATAGGATTGCCAGCAGCAGCTCTGTTTCTTTTCAGAGGAGAAGCCGAGGCAGAGGTTCTGTTCTTTCCCAAATTTCTCTCAATTTTGCATGTAAAAATCTTAATCGACCTTAATCAATTTTGTTCTTCGTATATAACTCTATCAGTTTGTTTCAAGGGCAGAGATCGAATTTTCAACGGTTTGGGAGATCTAGAAAAGATGTTGGGTTCATTCACATATTGCTTCTGATGATATATATCATGTATGCGGATGGTGATATTGTTGAGAGGTGTAGGGTGGATCACACAGTTTATACCACAGCTGATCATCTTTCTTTGTGTTGAGTAATAAATATTTTTATTTATAGAAATTATTATTATAAGTTCTGTATTAGAGATTATGGTTTAGTGTGATAGAGTCAGGTTGGGAGTGCCCTTACGCCCCACGGCCCAGCTGTAAAAAAGTCATAAACCATCCTGGCCCAGATGGAAAAGAAGTCACAGTAGAGTAGTAGTAAAAGCAGCGCATTTACGCCACCCTGCCGCCGCCGTACCCTGAGAACGGCTGAGCTGTGCCCACGCTGTGGTAGTGGTCCCCGTCCACCCCACGACGCGGGCACCACAGCACGGCACACCGCAAGGCAAAACCGCCGCCTCCGCACCTGCACGCCATTCCTCCACGCGCTTCCGGATTCAAAAATTTCCCCGTGCTGCGCCGACGCCGAGGCCACTAGGCTAGGCACCACCAGTCCACCACCCAACAGGCCAACAGGCAGGGGCGCGGCGGACGAGTCGAGTAGGGGGGCCAGCCGGCTGCCGGCCAGCCGCGCGCGTCCGTGGGGTGGGACATCGCATCGGTCGCGCCCGCGGTCCGCAGCAGCGCGGCACGCGCCTGATTGCGTCGTGTGATTGGGTGAGGGTCTCTCTTGCCGTCTTGCAGTTGGGGACTGGCGGCTGGCGGGCTGGGGGTATTCTGGTGAAATTTCTCCGAGATCCGGTGGTAGTACTTGCGGCGACAGGGTCTCCCCGGCCGCGATCTGGATTCTGCTGTGCTGGTCCATGCATTTGCGAAAACAGCCCTTAGCTTCCCATGAATTTTCAACGGGCATACCTGTCGGGCAGGACGAGTTCGCCTGCTGGGACAGACTTTTTTTTTAAACAAACCCTCAGGCAAGCTTTATTGATCGAGGATATTTACATCATTGACAATAAATGAACAATAAAACTGGAGGTTCATCATCTCAGACACAATTTTTTTAAGCATAGCTTGCCTAGTTAGTTCATATGCCACTTGGTTTGCTTCCCTGTTAGGCCCCGTTCGGCTTACCTTATATCTGGCTTGTTCGGCTTCTTTTTTCAGCCGGAACAGTGTTTTTCTCTCACAACATTTCAGCAAGAACAGTGTTTTTCAACCACTTTCAGCCAAGTTTCAGCAAGCCGAACGGGGCCTTAAGTGTTCAATAGAGATCTCCTAGAAACCACTCCAAACAATGTTACATTCGTCATATGTTGCGGCAGCTGAATTCGCAGTAAAACCTTCATTCCTCATAATTTCAACGACTTTCGTACAATCGGATTGAACGATCAATCGGTTGCCTCCAATGTGTTGAGCTAACATCGACCCCTCCTTTAGAGCATATGCTTCCGCTATCGGCGCATCCACTAGGTGGGGAATAAAAGTACTTGTCGTTGCAACCATACCACCTGAGCTAGACACCTGCAACCAAAGAGTTAAATCAAAATACAATTAAGTTTTGCACAGGCACCAATAGCGGACGTGTCCGGTAGGTAGTCCGGTATACACGTGTTCAGTGGAACGGCCCCAAACTTTCTCCTTTCGATTTCAATCTTCAATCCAAGCTGCAGGTACCTACTAGAAATGATATGATATACAGAGAACCTGCAGAAGAGCTAGAGCAAAACAAATATCAAAAGAAATGTGAATTGAGACACGATATTTGTTTTACCGAAGTTCAGACTCGGTTGAGTCCTACTCTCCGCTGAGAGGGCTGCGGGCGACCCAGCGAAGGTCAGCCCTAGAGGGTACCACGAAGGTCATTCTAGTCGGAGTCTTTTCCAACACCTTTTCCTCCTTTCACTAGTTGATTCCTTCCCTTACGGCGGTGGAATCAACCGTTATAAACTTTCTGAGGCACACCACAATCTCTCAGGTGCTCTCCGGTGACGCCTAGCCGTCTAGGACCGAAGAGTCCAAGAGTAACAAATGTAAATCACGAGATTGACAATATGCACAAGTGCTCAAGTGGTTGGATTGCTCTCTTTTTTTAATTCTCTCAACCCACAAATGGATTTGGCATTTGGGATGAATCACTCACTAAGAGAGGGTTGGAGAGTGTTTGTAAGGCTCAAAAACGTGCTAGAGGATCAGCAGAATCAGCAGCCTCCAAAGGTGGAGGCTAAGGAGTATTTATAGCCTCTTTGAAAAAATAGCCGTTATGTAGCCGTTGGGCAATACCGGACACGTCCGGTATTTGCCGTACAGCCCCAACGGCTACTATGTCAGTGAACCCGACCGTCGGAACTCTCGATGATTGTCGGAACTCCCAACTCACGTCGGAACTCCCAACGAATCAACCCGAGAACACCAAGATTTTTACCGTGGCTGGGCAAATACCGGTCACGTCCGGTATTGCCAGACCAGCAAAAAAAACAAGTTAGGTCTTTTATCTCTCAAACACTCAAAACTCACATGGGTTGGCATGAGCACTTATGAATGATCATCTATCAACATGATGCATCACTCTTAATAGTACGACATACCTATTAACTCAAGATTAAATGAAAAATGAATTTAAACCTTTTTTTTGAGTTGATCTCCTTTGAACCAATGCCGTGTCTTTCAATCTTCATCAAGTGAGGGTGCCAACATGTCAGTATTGATCTTTTCACTTGAGCATTTCCATATTGAGCACGCGACTTGATTCCATTCATCAAACATAGATAACTCCAAATGTATCAAGTCACTTCCAACAATCAATCTAATAATGATTTGATCCTCCACATCAATATGACCATCATAGCTTGATTAGTACCTCAACTAAAAGCAAGTACTTCCTTCTTCACCCTAGCTAGGTTTTTCGGCCATCAAGCCATCACTTGCCCTTCACCCTTAGTACCTCAAAGCCTTTCCTTGCTATTTTCACCATCTTAAACCATCAAGTCACATCTTGTGTTGAATCATACAATGAATTCCATAGAACACCATCTTCATCAATCATTGAAATCACACAATAAATAAGCCTTTACATGAATTCCATTTGCATTGTTGTCTTATGCTTGAACTAGATTGTCTATACAACAACACATCATTTTGGTTTTATATTTGAACTCAAGTGTATGTGAGACTTTCAATTTCCTATTTCACACTTAGCAAACATGTTAGACCTTTAATCGTGTTATCATTTAATCATCCAAAACCCACTAAGGGGCTAGATGCACTTTCAACTGGTTAGGAAAAGATAAGTCCACCTCCCCTTGAGAAAGAAGTCCTCATCCCCCTAACCCCCTTGAGGGGGCTTTAGTTAATAAATGTCTTTCATAAAAACCTATACCGGCCCCTACCCCCCTGCCTATGGAGGGGATTCGCTCAGATAAAAAAGTTGTGTTGTTTATGAATAAAGTAAATCTATGCATCGGAATGATTTTCATGGATACCACTTTTGTCACCTTCCATGGGATGCCCATGAGGGGACTTGTGTGATCCTAGGAGACAAGTGTTTTGCGTGTTTTTTCATTAGTGCATCTCCAATTACCCAATTTAAGTTAGTATCAGATACCACATTGTGTAGAGAAAATGTCAATACCCTTTGTTATAGTGGGAAGAGAATATATGAATAAAAAACACATTGCTTGTGAGAAATAAAGATAACATTTAAGAGTCCATACCTAACTCTTGCTATTGGAGGTGCCCTTAATGGTTGGAACAAGAGCATATATTAGTAAAAAAAAAAAGATAGTTGCAACCCTTACATACGTTCTAGGCGAATGGCCGCTTAAAGGAACTATTGTATTGATTTATCAACTATTTTTAATGTTGTGTACATCATAGGCTAAGGCTCATTCAGAAGTCTAAAAAGTGTTTTCATATTGTATGTGCCACAGTAAAATCTACATTTCGCTATGGGCCATTTGTTGGGAGCCAACAGTGAAGCTAGAACATATTGAAGGAGGTGCCGGTGTGCGAACTAGAGCTGCAACCATAATGAAAAATTGACCCTACTTATTGCTTTCTCATTTTTAAGGTGCATCCGCACTCACAATCAACATTACAGCTTCGCCACTGCTAAGAGCCTATCAAGTCCTAGGTCAACATATGAGCCAAATATTTTTCCAAATAACATATTTACAGAAGCTTCTACTATTTTATCACTATTCATAGTTCTGTCTTGGTTAAAATGTCATATACATAGATACTCTTGGCGGGTTATTCATGATGCGTACAGGTAATCATACATAAGATAGCATTTATCTATCGATGGGGAAGAGACAATCTGAAAAGTTGCCACTGCTGTTGCTCAACTAGGGCTCTGTTGTCGCCACCTAGAGGCCCTTCTTCTTCTCTAACGAGGTCGCCGATAGCAAGAAGAAGATGATCTCACTCTTCATTCACAACTAAACAATTCCTTATCTTTATATTGCTTAGGTTTAGTCAAAATAAATCTACTAGCAAAGAGAGTTTGTTACATGCGATGGCTTCGGCGAGATCACCATTGTAGTCGTTTTTATCAACAGAAGTCAATTTGTGATTACTATATGTAAGAGCAAGGGTGCTCATGGACACTCTTTGTGGGATATTGACTCCGGGTCGTCGAACTCATTGTCGATGGCACGTAGAGAGGAACCCTAGGTTTGGTGGTGTTGAATCTTTAGCCTATGCTATACTTGATGATTGAACCGCCATTGTTTTGTAGTCTCAGATGCTCTTGGTCTGATTTCGAAACATTATACCTTGCGATGTGTCCAATGTTTCGATGTTGGTTTGCAGATTCGATATGAGAAGTGTATTCTAGTTTTGATTTTTTTACAATGCTCTATTTATTTGGAGTGTCGTTTGCACATACTAAAACCACGGGGGAAGAAAGAAGATGTAATGACTTAATATTGTGTTTTTATTTTTTTTATATAATTTGAGGATGTACCGACCGAGTTTTAGTATATTTTTCCACCCCTCGAGAAAAGATAATGAATACGTACATCGTAAATCTATGATCCAAGAAACCTTTAAACTGTCCTGCTTCCACGCAAGCGTAACATAAAAAAGGCGAGAAAAACATTCTCAATATAATTTAAACAGCATAAAGTAATCTCTCGGCCATACAAGAACATTCCCAACGATATCGGCCTTGTTTAGATTACAAATTTTATAACAAACATCAGTATAAAGTAATCTCTTTATGCGGTCATGGACTAACTAGGCTCAAAAGATCCTCGTGATTTACAAGAACATTCCCAACGATATCGTAACCTTGGTTCTACAACTAAACTAGTATACAACTAGTATACAACGTACGCATCCTTTGGGCTTTTTGTGTTTTCATACATCAAACTTGTAGTATACATGTATGCATGGGTACTTAATGTTGACGAAATCAAAAACTAATTGATGGAACTTTTGCTCGTTTGAACATTCTCCAGAACTCTGACGGCGCCGATTCCGCGCCGAACTAGACTTGCTCGGAACATTCTCCCGCAGACCTTCCAGGCTTCCACGACTCCACTCCAACCAAAGAGCAAGAGCGGGACACGGATGCAATACCGAAGAAGGCGAGGGGGTTCGTCCCAGCACAAAGGGCTAAACAAACCACCGCGTCGTTATAAGTACAGTGTGGGGCTCGCCTCGGACAAGCCCCCGGCCGTCTCGATCCCAGAATCCGAGAGAGCCCAACAGGCCAGGTCCCCATCGCCGCGGCGCCTGCCCCCCTGCTCCCGCCCGGTAGTAGCCTCGTCGCCGCCGCCGCAGCCGAGATGGGGTTCGTCTCCTTCGTCGGGAGGGTGCTCTTCGTCGCCGCTTTTCTCCTCTCCGCCTACCAGGAGTACGCGCCTCTCCCATTTCCTCCCCTTGCTTGCTCATTGCCGCCGTGCTTGCTCGCCGTGTCGTTTCGAGTCCGGTTTCGGTAGATCTGGCGCGGCTTCCGCGGAGTCCGAGGGAGAATGTGGGCTGGGAGCTCCCTGGTGCGTGGATCTCGCGGTGGATAGTTTGGTTTGTGAGCTGTGGGGGCGTGACGTGGTTGGATCTGCTCATGTTTTTTCGGCCTGATAGACGGAAACGACGTAATTTTGGTTTTAGGCCTTTCGATCTGCATCTGTGCAGTTGAATTACGGATGTATGCATCCGTGATGTGGAGGTTGGAATATTTCATTATTTGAAAATCTCGGTAGTTGAATTGCGGTCGTGATCAGATTTGGAGGGAGCTGAGTAGAACAATGTGTGCATTTACTTATTTCAAGTTTCTTCTTGCCAGCTGTACTCTGATCTACCTCGTAGATTGTTGGATGTGATGTTCTAGTGTACCATATGTATTTGAACCACTGCCCGATAGACTTGTATTAGTAAAATTCAAATTAGGTCATTGTTTAACTTGTGGTCCTGAAGCCACAGGAGATTTAGGATATGTGGATTCTAACCATGGGTTGTGGAACCACATTGAGTTTGCTGTTCTAATAGGAAACAAATAAATCATAATTTGACACCTCATCTTGTAGTTGAATACCGCCAAACATGTAAGTGCAGCAGAATAACTACCAATCATGGACAATTTTCATGTAGTGACATAAACTGAACTGCGGAGGTGTGTGAAACACCACTTGACCAAACTGGTCCACTGCCAAATCTTCCACGGCTATTAATTATGCCTCTAGGTTTACAGAAGTTGCAACACAATTGTCATGAACTCAAGGTACTACGTGGGAAGGGGGAGTTTTTTTGGGCTGGGTGGAGCAAATAAATGGTTCCATTCACAAGTCTATCCCTTAAGAGTGTTGATTTCAGTTACAATCATCAATTATTATGCCTCCTTGGGAGATAAGAGAACAAACAAAACCAAGATCTTCATTTTCTTGCTGCTGTGTGAGGGAAGTTTGTTAAAGCGACGGTCTCCATTTTTTTTCACTTCTCTCAAGGAGGCATCGCAATCGTTTGCATTGGTTTAAACCAGTGTCTTGCATTTTCTGTAATAGTATCTGCACTTTAGCTCTTTGTAACCTCCACTTAGGGCATGTTTAGTTCCACTCCAAAATGCTAAATTTTTCAAGATTCCCCGTCACATCGAATCTTTGGACGCATGCATGAAACATTAAATATAAATAAAAAATAAAACTAATTACACAGTTTAGACGAAATCCAATGCCTAATGACTATGATTGGACACTATTTACTGAATAACACCCTATATCTAAAAATTTCGGCATCCAAACGATGCCTTAGACTATATAACATGAGAATGCTGTGAGACCTATATCTAACTTGTGATCGGATGATCTGCACCGAGTCTGAACTGTTGTGAACAGTCAGTCAGTCATATAGTAACTGGTTGGCGTTTTTGGGTTGTGAATCTAAAGGTTTGATAAGATATGATTGGTTCATAGTCAAGTCCTATCATTACAGTGTTGTCCACTTTATTTTACCACTGACAGGGTTTAAGTAGTAGTTAGTGCCTAGTAGGAAATATTTATAGAACAGAGACCATCCATTCAAAGGGGTTGCTAGTTCAGCGTTTTTATGGGTTGTGACATCAGGTCTTGTGCGAGATACTATTTTTGTTTATATCAGGATCAGTATTAGGTTCACCCTTAGTCTTAGTTTCAATTGAGATGAAGCTTGCTCGCTTAAAGCACATCTCACAAGTAATCTAATTATAAGCGTCGTATAGAATCTTTCTCTGCATGTGCTACCAATGCACATGCAGAGTCAAGTCTAGCTTCAATTATTTGCCCTTCCTTCTTGGCCATATGTCCAGATGAATTAATAGTCCTGGCACTTCATTTCACCTGGATGCAGGTTTAATGAATTTGGTACTGATGGTGGGCCAGCAGCTAAGGCGCTCCAGCCCAAGTTCAATGTGTTTGTCAAAAATATCTCTGCTCATCTGGGAGTAGCTGTGCCACACATTGAGGTGAGAATTTGCCTTTTCTTTTTTCTCATGACATGATTTGTGGTATGTTCTGTGGGTTATTGGTTTATGTTGCTTACATCATTACTTTGATTTATCCAGCTGAAGCATGTGATTGCTGCTACAATTGGTCTTAAGGGTCTTGGAAGTCTCCTTTTTATTTTGAGCAGCTCTCTCGGTGCTTATCTCCTGGTATGTACTATGCTTGCGCTGCTGTTATTTATTTCCTTTGATCTTTTACCAATCCTATTTTAAGTAAATAATCACCTTCAAATTCATCCTTCTTTCTACGACCCCGATTGTAAATAAATGCTGTATATATAGAGCCACACAACACTTTTCCAGGTCTCATGGTGTTCATTGCTCCATGTGCGCATGATGGAAATATTACTCCTTGTCTAGTAAATATTGTCATACAAAAAGCATCGCTGTTTAGTCATGTGTTTATTGTTGAAATGTCAGCAACTTAGACACTTAGTTTAGTTTCATAGAGTTTCATTTGGGACTGCGGCACACATATTTTGGTTCTGTGATTACTTTATGCTGTTCTTTTGATTATTGAGGAACCTGGCTACATAGATATTCTTTGACTATTGAGGAACAGATAAGGACACCCTTAGGCCATATTTTCTTTATGCTGTTGGCTTTTGCAATCTGGGCTTAAAAATTGGTATGTAATGATGCAATCTGTATCTTTAAAACTATTGTGTAATGATGCTTATGATACAAAAATCTTGACCTACCTGGTGTACTTACATGTCTTGAATATAGTTTTTTTATCCAATTTTTTACCTGGTAGGTATTGTTTCTAGCTGTTCCATGCTGGTTCTTTACTTGATAAAATAATTGAGATAATATATATGTTCCATAATTTGCCTTAGTTAAGGTATACCATATATGTTCCATAATTCGCTTTAGTTAAACTATACTGCACCATGCCATTCATTGTCTGATATACATACTCCCAGGAAATACTGAGGATCAATCTTTGATCCTAAAAAACGAACAGTGTATTTTTTAATTTTCTTGCCTTGGGTCCATAGCCCTTTTTTTTTCTGCTGATTTGCTGGTTGTTGAATGCTCAAATGGGGGTGTTGCTTTATCTAGTTCCCATTGTTTTGCTAAGGGTCATCACTTACCCCTCGAATACGTTCCTATAATAGAATGCTATATGAGTTACTTCTGGACCTCCCATCTTTATTATCTTTTCCTGTTATCCTTACTACTTAGGCACTGAGGTGACACCTGCTGTTCTTTTTATTGTGAACCTAGACAGATCTGATCTTTTGGTTTGTCTCTGTGCTACCCTAGCTACTAGCTAACGAAGTCACTTTATCTTTGCAGTTGTTTTACCTTGCTTTGATCACTCCTATCATTCATGACTTCTACAACTACGATATGGAGAAGGCAGAATTTGCGCAGCTCTTTGGGAAGTTCACCCAGGTAATTATGGATTTCTTTGTTTAGAAATGTTCCATGCAACACACATTCTGTTGCAGTATCAAATAGCCCGTGATAACTTGTGACTGCAGGATGTGGCACTGATTGGAGCCCTCCTCTTCTTTCTGGGCATGAAGAACTCCATCCCGAAGCGGCAGGGCAAGAAGAAGGCCCCCAAGGCGAAGACGAACTAAAGGCTCTTTAGATAGTTGGCACGCCTCAGGCAGTGTCTGGAGACAGGTCTATTTTGAAGCAAGCTGCGATGCAGTCAATGGCATCGAGCTGCGCTTTTACATGTATCAGATTCCATTTTGCGGGGCACGGCCCGAACGAAGGTGAGCGGCAGTTAGGCGACGAGATTCTGTACTTGCTATTGGTTTGTTGAACTAGGTTGCCAATGGTTAATCTTATCCATTTGATTTATCGTAGCACTGGGCTTTGTTAGCAGTGCAGGAATCGCTACCGATTCAATGGTGTGCTTTCCTTCACTTCCCTGTCACTTGTCAGTTTATGTGATGTTTTTTATCCTAATTTCGGCAGACGTGCAAAATCGAAGCAGACTTGGTGTGTTTGGATACGATGGCTACGTGTTGCCACTTCTCTCTCTCTCTCTCAAATCGTCATGCTAACAATTTTTTCGTCATACCTTAGGCTGTCATTTGATTTTCTACCACAACTATCGAACTACAGTAATTTGGTTTTCTACCACAACTACGGAACTACAGTTTGGTAATGAGCTAAACACACGCTTTGTTGGGTAGGTATGCAGAATCCAAGTCGTGCCCTTGGAATGTAGTATTGCAGTATGTCAGTCTTGGAGAGCAGTAACGAGACCAAACCAGAACGAAGTTATGCTTGGTTGATGGTTTCTACGGCTGATAAGTCGGTTGATGTTGTTTTGTTGTAGAGAGAAAAACATACTGTATCATGGCTAATAAGCCGAGCTGATGAGTTCTGTTTCTGTCCTGCACATCGGGGTGTGGCTAAAATGTGCGTCCGGGGATGGCGGGGACACGGGGCACTTGACAGAATTGTCCGGGGAGTAGCAAATCAGAAGAAGGTGAAATGGCACGATGACAAGAGTTGAGTTCAGCAGCTGCAAGGCAGGGCAGCTCAACTGCTCTGAAGTAAAAAAACTCTGATGAAGTAGAGGCAGGTATGAGGTGACCATGGTTACCGTACCCTGACAGCGATGACTGATGACCACCGTAAAGAGAGCATGCCACCATCTCAGCAGGAGCGCTGCTGGAGCGAACAAGAAAAACGCCTGCCCAGGCCGTCGAACTCTACACGAGTAGAGTAGGATCCTGGCCCCAATTATTCCCCGCCGTCGCTAGCCACGTTCCTCTTCCTTCCAAGCGTCCCCAACCCCAACCGGCCACCGGAGCCATCACAGCACGCTCGCACGCATGCGCGCGGCGCGGCAGGACCTGGGAACGCGAGTATTTCACGGTAGAACGCAACCCAGTTCGGTTGGATGGAGCAAACAGTATCACAGTCATCAAGGAGAAACGGCAGAACGCAGCACAGGCAGGCAGGCCCGGGGTCAGGACGGCCGGTCGGTCAAGACTCAAGACCCAAGCCCTTCTCGGTCCGCTAATACGGCCAACGCCACAGCGGCCAACCCCCTACCCCCAACCCCAAGGATTTTTCTAAACCCCAGAGCGCTGCCCTGTGTGTGCAGTGTGCTGCTGCCACGGCCTGATGACACCAAACCCTGGAGTCCCTGTCACGAACCCTCGCATCGTATCCATTGGGCGTGCGACGGACGCACGCAGCGCAGCATGAAGTGACTCGATCGCCTGTCCTCTTGTGCTCCCCCCAGGAAAGGAACCCATTGCTCGATCATCTGCCATAGCTTATTAATAACCACTCACGAGCCAGTCGCTCAAATTGCCTTGCATCAGTTATTAACCATAATATATAACTATATATAATATATATATATATATAACACCATCTTGCGTTTAGATTATGCTTTTAGTTTAGGATAGATTTAATTTAGAAGAGGCGGGGTGGAAGATCTGTCCCCCCGGGGGCCGGGGCGCTTAATTGGCACGAAACGAAATAGCGACCGAGAGCTGCTGCTCGAAGAGATGGCTCACTAGTTTTAGTTTTTATTCAATCTCGACGGGTACACCGTGTATTTGTTTTGGCCCCCGTCTCCGTGCAGAAAGCGACGCGATTGCGTCGTGTCCCGCGACCGCCGGGCAGGACGCGGCCGTGTGGCCTCCCGCTGTCCCCTGACCTGACCCCTCCGGACGCTACTGCGTCGCCGCGCCAACGATAGATCTACCGACGACGCGGACTGATTTGCCCGTGGCCGTGGTTGCTCCGGCTCCACTTTCCTGGGCGCTCCTGGCTCGTTGAGTTCAAAATCTGCTCGAATCGAGCTCAGTAGACGACGACGATGGTTTCCGAGACCACAGGGAGTTTTTGCAATGCGGAATTAAATGAAAATAATTTTTATACAAAAATTATAGATCTCGACGAGATCTACAACTTTCTAGTTTTGAGTTTTTTCATTTGAAGTTGTTAAGATGCTGAAAAAAATTAATAACATATTTAGACTTAAGGGTATTTTCGTCTTTTCGCACCTACAGTTTGACGGCGTTAGAGCTCAAACTGACGGAAGTGGCATGGAGGACACGAAAAAGTTAGAATAGTAACGCTGAAGATCGCTAAACTTTTCCAGAGACACAGAGTGCATTGCGATCTTTTTTAATGGTACACAGAGAATTATCTCTTCATTCATAGTCTAGCCTACAGATAGTTGAGTTCTGCTGATGCTGATGAATGGCTTCCCCTGACCATATATACTCAGTGGCGTTTTCAGAAAAAAAAGAAGGTGCGGTCGTTCAGAACTTGTTACATATAACGAAACTCGAAAGAGGGACGACACAATCACACGACACTGAAGTTCATCAGGAACAGAGCACTGCCCTTATCATTTGGCTTTGCCAAAAGCTTGGTGCTCCTGCTAGTACATCTTGTTGGCCCACTAGATTATTGGCTCAGGTAAGGTAAGCCGACCACTCATTAGTCTTGTCGATTATGGTCAAGCACGATAGACGTTGTTTGACCACATATTATGGTTAGAGGTAGAAGAAGAAAAAAAATAGAGCACACACACAGTATAAGCAAGCACCAGCGTTGGCCGCAGCCTAGTATAGGAGATGGCAAATTTAAACTCTCTTTGTTGAGTTGCAGTGGCAAACTATATATACAACTCTACTCATCTAGTCTTACAGCCTGTTTGCTTGCTCGTAAACGATCGTAAATTTCCAGCTGGGAATAGTGTTTTTCTCTCACACCAAACCAGCCAGCAGTAAATAATCCACGATACGATACGGCCTCCCGAACAGGTGTTAGTATATCTGCCCTGCTATAACAGTGACTATATAACATAGCAGGACCGACTTCTGCGCCTGTCCCTACCGTGGCTACAGAGAGGCAGGTGAGCCGTTCGACGCCTTCCCCTGCAGCGGCCACAGTACCACAGCAGGGAGCCTTTTCGGCGCCGCCTTCCCTTACTGTGTGTTCACACAGGGAAGCAGTAGATTATCTAACAATTCTTCCCCTAACCCTACTGTATCCCTTGTACCCCTTCCATATCGATCATCTCCTTCAGCTCCGTGAGTCGAAGACGTCCGAACGACTTGATGAGGACGTCCGCGAGTTGCCGACCAGTTTCGACGAACTCGATGACGATCTGCCCTTCATCAACATAGTCCCTGAGAAAGTGGAACTTTATGTCGATGTGCTTGCTCCGGTCGTGGAGAACCGGATTCTTCACGAGGGCGATAGCGGGCTGGTTGTCCACCATCAGTGCTGGTGGGTGAGCTTCCGAACCGGCCAGCTCGCCCAGTAGCCGGCGTAGCCACACAACTTGACACGCCACTGTGGCCGCCGCTACGTACTCTGTCTCGCACATAGATAGCGCCACCACCTTCTGTTTTAGCGACAACCATAAAATTGAAGCCAACCCAAGGAAGACGAGCACGCCAGAGGTGCTCCGTTGTCCGTCGATGTCTCCCGCCATGTCTGCATCGCTTAACACAATGAGCTGCAGCCTACTCCCGCCGGTCTTGGGGAAGATGATCCCCTGATCCACCGTCTCCTTGACGTAGCGTAGTAGCCGCTTCACCGTAGCCCAGTGATCCTCTCTGGGATCCTCCAAGAAACGACTGACGTAGCCCATGTCGAACGCAATGTCCGGCCTTGTGTGGACTAGGTAGCGCAAACCGCCGACGATGTCCCGGTAGAGTGTCGCATCCACCTTCGCCGCGGTGCTGGCCTTCGTCAACTTTAGGCACTCCTCCATCGGAGTCACGCATGGCTTGCACTCAGCCATGCCGCTCCGCTCCAACAGCTTTGAGGCATACGCGCTTTGACCGAGCGTGAGTTCCTCTTTCCCCTGTCTCACTTCGATGCCGAGGTAGTAGGATAGTGCGCCGAGATTGTTCATTCGAAAACGAGCCGTCATCTCGCGCTTCAAGCTGTTGATGTCCTCCTTGCGCGTGTCGGTGACGATCAAGTCGTCAACATACACGCCGACGACAAGCTCCTCCTTCCCCGTCGCCGCGTGTAGAGCATGTGCTCGGTTGCGCACCGCTAGAACCCAAGCTCGTCCAACGTGGCATCAAGCTTGGCATTCTATGCTCGTGGAGCCTGCTGCAACCCATAGAGCGCCATGCGCAGTCGGAGCACCCTGTGCTCCGCTCTCTTGACGGCGAAACTTGGAGGTTGCCTGATGAAGACTGTCTCCGCCAGCTCATCATTGAGGAAGGCTGATTTAATGTCCAAGTGATGGATGCGCTAGTCCTTTGGCGCTGCCAATGCTAGTAGCAAACGGACAGACTCCATACGCGCTACTGGCGCAAAGACTTCCTCGAAATCGATGCCCTCGCGCTGAACAAAGCTTCGGGCAACGAGGCGCGCCTTGTGCTTGATAATGGCGTTGAACTCGTCCCACTTGACCTTGTACACCCACTTCAGCCTGATCGGACGACATCCTGGAGGTGGATCGATGAGCTGCCATGTCTCGTTTTCCTCGATCGCCTTCATTTCCTCCAGCATCGCCCGTCGCTAGTTTCCGTTGCGCTCTGCCAGCGCGAACATGGGTGGTTCCTCTACACTGACGAGCAACAGCTCTTGGTCATTGAGCAACTGACTAGCCAGGCCTGAGGGCCCT